TTCCTCTCAGGGCGTCCCGCTCCCGCGGAGCAGCTGCCGCCCTGCACGGCGGTGTCGCGCTCGTCCCTCGGGCAGCCTTGCCGCTCTCCGTTGGCTTCCCGCCTCGCCTCGCCGATCGCTTTTTCTCCTCAGTCCGGCGAGGCGGCCGGCAGAAGAACTCGCCTGGCAAACTTGGTGCGGCGTGGCCTGGAAATGGAGTCTGAGCTGCGCGGCGGGGCGGTGCACGCCGGGAGAGGGCAGCGGGCCGCTGGAAATGTGCCCCGAGAGCTGCAAAGCGTTCTCTCCTCGCACGTTCAGCGTGTGGGGGGCGATTGTTAGAGGTGCGTGTAGAGCGGGAAGGAGGGTCCTTTCCCCGTGCGTGCTGTGTTGGAGACCTGTCTTCTTCGGCCAAAGTGCTTCTTTCAGTGCGTGCTTTCGGTTAATTTCTTTTCTTTCAATGCGTGCTTTTCGTGTTATTCGTGTTTTCGTGTTATTCTGCTAGAGCTCCGCAGAGGAAGTCAGTGCTGAAGATGAAATAACAGCAAATATTATCTTAAAAAAACTTTAATTGTGTATAACCCTTCTAAAATGAATGAAACTAAGTTTTGGAATAATGACTCTCCATATCAAACTGGGAAAATGATGATGCTGAACTTGACACGTGTGACTTGGTATCTTTGAAATCCTTCTAAAATCTGAGAACCTTCGAATAATATGTGGCAAAAATCTGTGAATGTTTCAGTTAATATTGAAAAAAAATAATATTTTGTTAATATTGAAAATATGCTGTTTAAAGAGGGAGCAGCAGATCTAGGATGTCAAGCGAATAGCTGCTGCACTAAGACTCTTGGCCTGGTGTGTGAGTACCATTTGATTTTTCAATTGCAATACCATCCTATGCGATGGCAAAACAAGTCTTTGAAGCAGTGAGGCAGGTTAATTTTGTTTTTAACTTAGGAGACACTTAGCTTAAAACCTGTTTGGCTGTGTCGTTCAGACATCTGAAACTAGCACATGGCCCCTGTGAGGAGCAGAGAGTGGTTATGTTTGGGAACTTTCTGGGTATTCATGTGACAGACTCCAGTTATGTTGTTATGTGGGTATTCATGTGACAGACTCCAGTTATGTTGTTATGATAATTTTATGATAATAAAATGGTATATGATAATTTTATTTAAGTTTTCAGGGTATTGCTGCTTTTGTCTGGTGGTTTTGGCCATTAGAGTCCCCATCTGTAAAGACTGTCACCTAGCCATTTAGTTTTGTAGCTGTAGATGCTCCTGTGCTAAAATAGCCAAAGACTATGTGGGGTTAGGGATCAAGAAAACTCTTTAGTTGTTACTAGGTGGAATGCTCTGTCCCCTCTGATACAGCAGACTTGTTGCTTATGTCAAAATATACAGGTGAAAATCTTTTTAAATGGAAAAAATGCAACTTGTGTGCTTTCTGACTGCTGGTATGTGCTTTAAACACACAGAATTGCATGAGCTTCTTGCAATTGTTGAATATTTTCTATTTGCAGTGTTGGTAGCCTTATATGAAGAGCCAGAGAAACCAGATAGTGCACTGGAGTATCCTTTTTCTTTGCTGTGACTTATTTATTGAGTCTTCATGCACAGTACTGCTTCTGACTCATGTGTGAACTGGATAGGCTCATTTCAAAGCCTTGCATTGAGAACATGGCTTTTATCAATGCACTTTACCTAATAATTGCATTTTCACAAGCTAAGAGAATCTGCCAGGATGGAAGAGAACTGGGTATTTCAGTGTGTCAGCAATTTTGAAGCTAAGATATAGGCCATTTCAGTGTGTTGTAGACCTGCAGCATGAGATTTGAGTACCTGCACTGGCAATGGGTTTTTTTCTGAAATTTGCTTCTTCACACTTCCTTTTTCTGTTGTTTTTTTGGTTGGGTTTTTTTTAAATACACAAAGAAAGGGGGAACTAGCATGTTTTGTTTCTCACTGTTTTTAAGCAGCCTACATTTTTGGGTATTGCTTTTTTTTTTTTTTTTTTTTTTTTTTTTGTTATTTCTTTCGGTTCTTCAAAGAATCTGCAATTAAGAGAAAAGAAGGGGGTAGTAACACTTAAGAATTTGTACTGATATCTTGTTTTTGTATGTTTGTTTTTAAGGACTGTAGCTATGAAAAGCTCTCTTATTTTGGTAACTTTTTTCCTGTAGTAATGGTTTACTGAAATTTTGGCCAGGTGTACTGCAGTGTTAAATTCAACACAGGTGTTAAAACTAAAATGTAGTTATATGACTGAAGAAATACTTAACATCTAAATATCAGTTTTCTGAAGCATCATCTGGGAGCTTCAGCTCCTGAGAATCCGGAAATAGAGGCACTTCGCTTGGAAGTGGCAGAGATGAAAGAAAAATATGAAGCTGTGCTGGAAGAAAATAAAAAACTGAAAACCAAGGTAAAAGTCTACTTGGTGTTACTCTATAGTTCCATTTTACACAATAAGAAAAATATTTTAATATACTTAGAGCTTTAGAGTAACTGATAGATGTCGTTGCACTGTTTAGCCTTATGACTGAGAAATGCTGATAGAATTCATTGTAGTAAAGATGATTAATTTTTATGGAATGCTTCTTACAGAATATAACAAAATGTTGCTAAACTAGGGATTTTGTTTATTTAGGGAAAGTGTATTATGTCTAATATGTTGTATTGAGTCTCCTCTGGATGTGTTTAAGTTGTCTGATATTATGTAGATCATGTGTTCGGGACATTTTAAAAACAAGTAAGGTAATGTATCCATTATAAAGCCTTTCAAAAGGCAAATTGAAGCAGGAATATTATGTATTACTTTGTGTCACTTGGCATAGACTTACACATGGTAGGATCTTACACAGGCACTTAGATCCGTGTGGAACAATAATTTGTGTTTTTACCTAAAATGACAGTGGTATTTATCTGAAACAACAGTGAATCTCAAGTGCTAGCTAGGGCAGGGCCATTCTTTAATGGGTCTGCAGGCTGTCTGAGAGAGCTCTGCAGTGTGAACAGCTTTCTCACAACACTGAAGAAGGAAACCCCTGAGATATTTAATCTGCAAGTAACCTCTGTGCTGCTGCAGGCTTCCATGCATTTGTTGAAAGAGGATGGTGGCTGTTACATGTGAATACCCCTGAGTTTTTTACTGGGAGACAGCCACCTCATTTTAGTTCTGTGAGAAAGGATTCTTGGCCATTACCCCTTTGTATTTCTTGTCCAGAGTGCCATCTTGCTGTCCTAGTAATTCTCCTGCTTCACTGTTACCCATTATGAGTCCTCAGCTACATTTGTTACTTTTTACTGGGAAATATGGGAAAGAACAGAATTTAGGCAGAGTAGCAAAAGAGCAGCCACTTGTTTTAGCAAACTTAAAAATGCAACTGATAGTAAGTAGACAGATGAGAGCAGAGTAGTCTGGTTCTTTGTTTAAAGAAGTCTTTTCAAGAAGTCAGAGCTTGTTGCAGGAAAGTAACACTTTTGTTCTTCATTGTTTAAATAACTCCTTCACATATTTTTCCAGTATTAGCATATTTTGTTTTTTCGTCTTCTTTACAATGTAATCCCCATTATTGTGACATACTGTGGAAGTTCACACAGCATGCACAGAGGACACTACCATTTTCTTGTAGCAGTCCTCTAACATAAAATACATAACTTCATCTGGGCATTTATTGGGAACTGCTGCTGCATTCATCAGTGAATGCTAGATAGTTGTGTTTGTGTTGGGAAGAGGACAGGAAGTCAACACTTAGGTCCTTGATGGAAAAGAAAACTGACTTTGGGTTGTGTACTAGTTATCTGTTGTAGTAAAATCTACAACAACTAAAAAATGTGATTTTAGTGCTTCTTGTTAGTAGCAGAATGATTGCTGCAATCTACTATTGCTTGTAGGAAGGAACACATGGGTATTTTATTTATTGTGTGTTTATTATTTTTAATTTTTATTGATGCTTTTTTATTTAATTTATTTTTATGTACTTTGCATATTTTTAACACACTCTGCAGTTTGCAGAAGGGAGGAATCTTAACTGAGTAAACTGAACCAGCATATTTCAGAGAGATGTCCCTAATTCTTGAACTGTTTTTGAAACTTGAACTTACCTTTAATGCTATTGAGGATAAGTGAACAACTTAGTATCTTTCTTTGGTAGTAACTTTACAAGTAAAAGTCATGTTTAAGTGTGTAGTTTCCAAGGCTATACTCTCCAGAAAGCATAATGGAAACTAGAATGATTACAAGAAATACTAGGTTGGATACTATTGCAATGAGAATGACTGAGTGTTTCATTTAATCAAGTTTTAAGTTGAAAGCTTATAGGTCACCAGTCACTATCAACTGCTATTTCAGATGAAAGTACTTAAACACTGCTGGAATAAGAAACAGGGAAAAGTTAAGGGCAAGACATGTGCTTCAAAGTGCATTTAAAAATCCATCTTGTGCTGGCTGCATTGTTATACAGTGTGAGAAGTGGGTGTTTTGGGAGAAGGGTTATTTTATTGCCTGATTTGAAAATCCTTGCATAGAGATGAGTGAGTGAAAATGCACAAAGTAAACGGAACAAGTCCAGACCATACATTTTCCTTTACTTCTTAATATAGAGTGTTACATGAAATATTGTGACTAACTAAATTCCTTTCTTTAAATCCACAGCTGGCTCAGTATGAACCTCCTCAAGATGAGAAGCATGGTGAATAACAGTAGTTTTTCCTTTATTGCCTTGACTTAATAAAGGGCTTCCTGAGAAATGCGGTCTTTTGTGTGTATGTGCGTGTGAACTCTGCATTGTCTACTTTGTTACTTGATTGTCTTAAAGAAAGAATACATCACCATGAGCATGCAGATGCCGTGGCAACTGCTGAGAGCATACTGACCAACGTTCTTGCTTTCTGTGTTGATGAAAAGGGGACAGTTATGATGAATTTAGATTACTGTGCTTGCCAACTTCATGTACTTCTCACATCGTGGTCAATGGTTCTGTTGAACTGCTGATTTGTCTCTTTGTTTTCTTTTAACTGAAAGGGGTGACATGACACTGATGGACCAACTGTAAATTAAAGCAGGACCTTCAAATTAATTTCTATGTTTGTACTCGGCACTGAGGAGAGACTTCTGCTGAAGCTGATAGGGTGACACTACTCAGAAGGGCATAAAATGAGCAAGTATAGTTAAGTGGTGGATATAGCACAATGTTGAAATCCACTATCTACTGAACTTACACTTGAATTTGCCTGAGGTGTACCTCTTCCCATGCAGTTTGTGTCTCTGCTCCTGTCTCAGAAACTGGGCTTTGGAGAGTTGATCCAGATATTGCCTGTGCAGTTCTGAACATAATACAAAATTCTTATTTGTGATGAAAATCCTGTGTAATTAGAGTGGTACATGTAAGACTACAGTGTGGAGAGTTCTGCTTTCTGATTCATCTAACAGGGAAAATGAAATCCAGGTGGGGTGGGATGTGGGTGTGACTTTTGATTATTAATTCTGCCTATGTTCCCTCTCCCCTTTACCTGAACTGGTTTCATGACTCTTCTGAAATGCAAAGTAGACCTTTATAAAATAAATAAATAAATAAATGCAGCTCTTTAAAATATTATTACTCTTTTATTTCCTACCCTAAAGCTAGGTACTTTAAAGGCAGCTGATGACAAGAAAAATAAAGGGGAAATGAAATGCAGTAGCTGTCTTATGTATTAGATTTATTGACTGTTAGTCTGCAAAACCCATCTTAAAAATAAGGAAGTTAAACTATCTTGAAAATGTGGTAGGATAGATCAGAACTTTGTTAGTCATTGTAATCAAGGGCTAGTGAATGTAATAATTGCTTACCTTACTATTGTATATATTGACTTGAGACCAGAAGAGAGGTAAAATGAGGGGAAAATACTGTTTTAAGTCTCTAAAGCATTAAACCACCCTGAACCAACAAACCAACGCCAAACAAGAAAAGCAAAAAAAAATTTCCCCAACCTCTGGAACAAAGGGCAGATGAAATCTCCCTTGAATGTAACATAGAGCATTAAGTTGCACCAGGTGGAAGTAGGGAGAGGGTAATGCTGTGGGAAAGGTATTGTCCGGCTGAATGTGTTTTTAAATGACTGTCATGTCCTGCTAAAGAAGCAGCACGGCAGGTCAAGGTGTTGGTCAAGCCATCACAGGGCATGGACTCCCGGCTTGAGCTGTCGGGTGCCAGGGAAGTAACGCAAACATCCAGTTTTCATGACTCTATTAGCTTCCCTCTGAAAGCACTTGGATGTTGCGAACCTTGAATTAGGATTGCGACGAAATAACAAATATTTGTTAAAACTTCAGCTCAGTGCCTGCTTGCACCAGGGCTGCTAGAAGAAAATTAATGACAGTGTCTAATGAAGAGTATTTCTTCACAAGGTAACGTTTTGTTACGGGCCGGCTGCCGGCTGTGTTTGCGCCTGGAGGGGCGGGACGTGCGGCCTCTCTCCGGGGCTGCGATGGGCCGCGCGCT